CCATGTTAATATAGCAAAAAAAATCTTGTGGAATTTTTATCAAAAGTATCATAGCAACAATATAGAATGCACATATTTATTAATAGGTCATCTAAAGGAAAAAGGAATACATGTGGAGGTTGTTAGAGATTCTGATGTATCTAAGGCTAAAGAAAAATTTAGTAAAATTATTTCGGAGCATGTTTACAGTGTCCACAAGCCAATCATGGATCTGCAATTACTTGCCACTGTTGATTCTGGTGATGTAAAATATAGTGCGATAAAATTTGATGCCAAAATACGAAGTGATGAAGAAATGCAATTATTACGTTGGGGTTCAGCTGCTAAACAAGCTACAGTAGAAAATGTGTTAGATCTTAAGTCTACAGATTCGACAAATCCGTGTATGACAAAAAAGAATACCACTAAAAAGATATCACCACAAAGAGAGAATTTAGTGAAAAAGGGAAGTTTGAATCATTTCTTTGATAAGTTAATAGTTCCTTCAAAATCTGTAGAAATAACGTCATCCGAAAAGAAAGATAATAATGCCAGAAAAGACTTTATTGAAGAAAAAGTAATTAGAGAAAACAAGAATTTACTTGAAAGAAAGTGGAACAGAAGCAAGGAAACAGATGAAATAGCTAAGAAACGGAAGAGAACTATTACACAGAATGATTCCAGCGATTCAGAGATACAAAATGATGTAGAGATGAAAGAATCATTTCCTCAAACAGAGCCAGAAACTCTTGTAAAATCAAAAAATCTTGTTTTAGAAAATAAGAAAGAAAAAGAAGAAACAAGGAAAAAAAAGAAGAAAGCAGAGACTAAAAAAGTAAAAAAAAAACAATCTACGTTAATAAACTTTTTCAAGAAATATTAGAATTGCTTCAAAATTATCTAAAAGTAAGAAATATTCATTTGTTTTTTTAAATAATTTAAATACAATATATTACTTGTTAATAATATATGATGTAATATTAACAAGTATCATATTAATAATAATAAATAATGTACACAAAATTAATAAATTATGTTTTTTTGTATTTGTCAAACTCTTCATTAATGTTAAAGGCATATTATATTTTTATATTATTATTATTGTTTTTTATACCTCATGTCAATAGTTTTTTTATCATTATTGATATAATAACAGAATGATAATCATTGATAATTAATTGTTACAGATGAATAAATTGTGCCACTGAGTGAATATCAGGATGCAAATAATTTTAATGATGAGAATATTTTATCGAAACAAAATCAAACACTTTTGCTCGAACTAAGGACTAAGAGAAAATGAAAATCACGAATTTCAAAGGACATAATTTGAGCATTTTAGTGATAAGTAAAATCACTATGCGAGATTACATGTTTTGTCTGTTAGCGAAACTATTAAAAAATATGATGTATGTGCGCTATATATATTAAAAATATGTGAAATGAATAGATGGAAGAAATATTGAAACATCTCTTATAATTGCAGCATCTTGCCTACAAATACATAGATATTTTATATATATATATATA